CGGCAGGGCCGGCCGCGTTGGTTTTGTCGGTCGCCAGGATATAATTATGCGCAATCAATATAAATCTACGGGCCGTTGTTGCGCGCGGAGTCACGGCATGCATGCGAAGAATCGTGAGAAAGTCGGTTTTTCGATCCGACTCGCGCGATGTCTCATTTCATTAAATTCTCAGTCACGTCAGCGGCCCCGAGGTTTATGTGACTACCAGGAGCCAGTGTATCGAAACGGTCGACGGGAACGGCCGGCGAGGCCTGCGATCGGAAAACCGTTTCCCGCCAAGGCGTTTCACCGATTCCGACTGTCTTTTCCGTGGAAAAACGCGCGCGAGACACGCGAAAGAAACGGATCTCGAACGGTTCCTGTTCTAGAAACGCGGACCGCGCGTTCCATCGATCGCATCGATAACAGTTCGTTTTTCCGTCCTCCAGCCGGATGACGAATGTTCACGAATTTTCTGATGTTCCGCGGGAATTGTTCGCTCGCGATTTTATATTAGGGACTCGTGGCTTTCGTGTTGTTGATGATTCACGAGCTTTTAGATACGCTGCGCTTATTTGATTGTAGTCGCTTAGCAGCCAATGCGGAGGGAAGAAACGTTGAGAAATGTTTTCGTTTGTGAAATGGTCGTACGATGTATTCTGAAGATGTAAGAAGGGATTCTAGGGGAAACGAAGGGAAAGAATATTTACTGCAATTTCGAAAAATTAGGAAATACCAGGAAATCGACTTAACCAGTTAACTGTGTTTGATGAGTATACACGTCGTCGTGAGGCTTGACATGATACTAATTCTTTATTTTGTCACGTCAACGTGTAATTCATCTTTGTTTCGCTTTGATCTTTCATTGAAATATACTCTACGTGCGTTCGTCCTGTTTTCGATGAGTACACGCTCCATTTTTTTATTTTATTGCGAGAACGAGAGGTTTTCCCAACTAATTTCACAGTTAACTGGTTCATCGCACTGGTTTCTGAACAACTCACGATCGAAACGGTGAAAAATACGCGCGAGCTGTTAATTAGATTCACGGAATTCACCGATTTGACGGATACCAAATTTTATAAACATTAATCTACTCTGATCGATGCAAACATACCAATTTTCCGTTTTAGAGCTCTAATTTCCAAGACTTATCTGAACGGAGTCTACTTCGAGGAACAAAATACATTAACCCTTTGCATTCGACGATATTTTTCATTAAAAATATTCATTACTTTCTGACTGAATATTAACGATACTTTTCGCAACTAACACAATTGATTATCTTCTATCAATTAAGAGACAGAACTATTTTCAATGTTTCATGTGTTGATACATTACACAAGGTTTAATATTGAATTGAAAATTTTATATATGGCGCCCCTCGAGTTCAAAGGGTTAATATCAACGATAAACGGGAGAAACGGATTCGAAACTGATTGTTCCAGAAACGGGGACTTGAAATTCCATCGATTACGTGTACGAGCCTCGAATTTCTCTTTCCCTTCTTTTTTTCGCGTGTCAGGAGAAACTTTCCTGGAAAAGAATGGCTCTGCCGGATGCGAACGGTTTCCGAAATACAATTTCGGTGTTTCCACGGCGCGTTATCTATATGGCGGACACCGAAAGCGTATAAAAATCGGTCCGCCGTAGTCCGGAGCCGTTTCACGTTGTTGCGACACGGTTCTCGTTGAGAAACAACGTTCGAAGGGGAACGGTGATCAACGGATCGCCGACGTTTATGCAAATTCGCGGTTTTTGCCGGGCGACCCGCGGAACGGGGAGGAAAGGATCGAATAACAGCTTCGCTTATTATAGATCCTCGAACGGACGATCCGTTATTCTTTATTGAAAAGAATATCCGATATCACCGTAAATTCGAACACGTATCTTCTAATGAAATTAATTACCTTCTAATCGTACGTTCCACGGTGTCTATTACATTTCCGTTACCCCGTAGGTATGTCGTAGGGCCTATCCTATCTTTCGCTCGTTATACCGCGCGCTGATTTATCGTAAATATTAAGTCGCCTGAATAGGGAAGTACGCGTTGCTCGCGGTGGATCGTTCTAAATGAAGCAATTTGTCTCTCGAAATGAACGAACTCCGCGCTACTGTGTTGCAGATTTAATTATTCCTCGTTCCTATCTTCCGGAATTAATCGATTCGCTACTTCCATCTTCCGGAATTAATTACTCGTTAGTTCCATCTTACAGCCGAACTTCGAGTGCTTCGATAAGCGCGTCGTTTGAGCTCGCGTAAATTAATTTAATTGCTATTTAATAATAATTCCTTTTCCTCCCCTAACACGTTGACTGCCACGGTGATGACCGGAGCTTCCAAATTGCTGAAGAACAATTACAATGAAAAACTTGATTTTAAATAAGAATATTCAGTAACATAAGTAGCAACATCATAGCATGATATGACTACTCTAATACTGAATCATTAATAATTATTTTCAATATCGGTTGCTTTTGTTATTGAAGAATAAGTATTACTATTCGAAACGCTAGAAATTCTCGTGGCAGTCGACGCGCTAAGCGAAGCAGATCCTACCCCTATTTTCCTACCCCAACCAAGGTCGAAGAGGTGCTCAACACATTGAGCGCCGGCTAAATTTCAGCTACTAAAAACGCGAGCGTCGGTGATATCGATACATTTTTAAACGTCGATCGAACCAAAATTTCTAACTTACGGAAGAGAATAAGGAATTCGATTTTGTAAATTTTACTTTGGATTTGTGTTATACATATCTAGAATGTCACTTAGTGTCACTATGTTATCAAGACACTTAGCCATGCAACTTCGCTAACTACCACAGCATTGAAAAAAATAGAAAATTCAATTCGAATCGATTATCTATTTAAAATACATTACATAACAATATATCCGAGTTTTTCGATGTATATTGATATAAGTTGACCTCACTGAAAATTGCCATCACAGTTCGGTCTTCTGAAAATCCGGTACGCAATGTGTCAACTTGTAAAAGAAATTAGAAATTATATGGCATACGGGTCAACCACCCTTGATCTACAGGGTGCAGGCGTCTCGCAAGGGTGTCGAGCAGAAACTGACGCAACGAATGAAGTAATACCTTCGACAGTCCATCGGTCGACGAAACCGAACGAGGATTCCGTTTCACGTGCGCGGGGCGTAACGCGAACGATCGTTTTCGTGCTTACGTAATCACCGGCGAAACGCATCGATCTTCCCAGTAATTAGTCGGACTCGGTCCGTCATTGATAAAGTGCGTGCCATCGATTACTGCCCCCTCGAACCGTCTAGGCGTGCCACGGGCCCGGCCGCCAAATGACGAAACAATAGTCCGGGCCCCGATATCTCTCTCCCTCTCGCGTCCCGTCGCGAAAACGAGACGGAGAAACGAGAGAAACGAGAGAGAGAGAGGAGAGAATGTAGCCGCGGCAGCGGCGACGTCACGGTCCCGAACGAATTTGACTTTTTAATTATTCCAGAACGTCGCTCTGGCCGGCTTCGAGTACCACCGAGACCGAAAATACGATTAATCACACGCGGCGTGCTCGTTTTTCATTAAAACTCGATCGCGCGACGGGAACCGGGGACGTTTTCGAATCGTCGAACCGAGCGGTTCGCCGGGCAACGTTCGCGGAACGGTTTTGTTCGTTTTGAGGAGGATTTTTCGACGCGTGATTGAAGATGATGGATAATTCGAAAGTGTCGTTTCTGTTTGTACCGAGTTCCTCCGGATGATTCTTTCGTTTGATCGATGTACCACGGGCGAGCCGTGTTTTACGATGTGTTCGTGAATTGAGCTTGTTGTACCGTTCCTTTGACGCTAGAACTACCGTACCAAAATGACTGGTTTCGATTTGTTCGTTTAGCGATTATTGATGTTTTCGAAGCGTTGAATATTCCAAATGATTTTGAAAATAGTTTCGTTTCAGTACTATAACGAGTGTCTGAAGAAACTGAAAATCTATTGCTACTAATGTTAGTCGTGTTAAATCGGTAGTTCTAGTGTTAACGTGTTAAACGCCATGGAATTAAGCGTTTTCCTGTAGAGTTCTTTTGCGAAGAAAGGAATGATTGTTAATTATTTGACGTTACAGTATTATCAACTTTACATTTTCATTTCATATCGGTTATCTTGTTTGTTATGATTATAGTCATTCAGAAGCGTCAGTTAATGATTGACACGGCGCTTAACGTGAAACTTCTACTCCGAACGAAAATGGGATAGCTTAATTGTTTTCATTTCCGATTCGACGCTTGTATCGTGAAATTAGTGTAGCGAAGGAACAAGACTTAATTAGATCGATTGATTTCTTCGAATTTCCCTGAAATTCCCTCTAAACGTCAGCTGTATCGATTCAGCTCGATCCCCTTCGATTTAAGTCTCATCGATTGAATTCGAATTCTTTAAATTTCAGCTCGTCGTTAAAGAGTTAAGGCTCGACCGATCTTCGGTGATCATTGAACGGGAACAGTCATCGAACTTTAGCCGTCCGACGTCTCGATCCCTCCTCCACCGATCGAACGTCGCTGTCGAAAGCTGCCCATAGCCGCTTCCAACGAATTCCTCGCGTTCTTATCGGTATCTCCGCTCGGAAGCGGATTAACCCTTGAAAGCCGGCATCGCAGGAACAGTCGCGTTATCATTGTTACATTTACCGGTATCCCTGTTCACTGGTAAACATTGTTTAACGAAAAACGTAATTAACCCCTTGACTTGTACGCTCGAGTTCATTCGAGCGCGCTGAACAGGCCAAACTGTGAAAATAACAATGTGAAAGCAAAGACAAAATCGTTTTATTGATATTTATCATTTACATGGGTTGTAAGCTATAACACTTATTTATTCGAGAATAAAATATAGCCTTTTTCCATGGAACAAAAGCGCAGTATATCAAAATTGATTTTTTTTGGTCGGTTCTTTTAAAAAAAAACTGTGCGTTAAGGGGTTGAACAAACGATTTTTCCGAAGAATTAGCCGTACGACGTTCTGTCGCAATAAAAAGGCAAAATGAGAATATGTCGTTTCTTTCGGCAACGCGTCTTTGGAATCCAACTTTCCCTTTCCCTTCCCCTTTCTTCTTTTCAAGCTACAGAAACTGAAGAATCATAATTACAGAAAAGTGAACCTATAGTTTCTATATTTCTATCTATATTTCAAAAGAATCATAGTTGAAGAAAACTCTTAAAGAAAAATTATCCACCACTTGACACGCTTTAACACTAGAACTACCGTACCAGTCAAAATGACTGGTTTCCATTGTTTTGTTTCACAATGATTGATATCTTAAAAGCATTGAATATTCGAAATGATCTTGAAAATAAATAGCTTTCACTTGAATACTATAACGAATGTCCGAAGAAACCGAAAATAATCTATTGTTAGAATTTTTATAAATCCTCCTTCAACGATAAATAACAATAAATCTTCAACGATTTCCCAGAGAAGCAGTACCTTAGTAATTATAAAAAAAGAATTCAGAAATGCGTCATTCTAACTCATCTGCTAATTCCAGTTGATTCCTAAAGAATCCTCAATTCTCGAAGAATCGCGCAACGGAAACTCCTAATTCCCAACTCCACTCGATCCCGATCGCCGAACGGTTTCGCAAAGATCCACCCCGAAGTATTTCCAACGAGCGTTCATTCGAAAAGACAGCTGCGCATTCCCGAGAAAGATCGCGCAGCGGGGTACTCCGGCCGGAGTCCCTTTCACCCCCGAAAAGACTCGCGGAAAACTCGGCGCGCAGAATCCGCCGGCAATCATCGCGACGATTCGAAGCGGGCAGAAGGCAGGGTGGGTCGCAGGAATGCTGGGTGCGCGGGTTACGGTCGCGTCATCGTCACGATCGGAGAACAAGGAGACGGGAACGGCAACAATAAGCAGACAAATCAGTGCGGTCATATACCTGTCCCGGGGATAGAATATTCCCTCTTCTTTGCTCCCCGCTCGGTCCGGCGCGCGCGAGCGCGGGCGCGCACACTCGCTCTCTCGCGGTCCCCTGGCCGCCCGAACAAGCGCACCGGGGGGAACCCGCTGGAAAGACGGAGGAAGAGAGAAAAACGCGGGGACCGGGCCCCGCTCGCGCGCACCGCAGAAAGAGAGGGAGGAAGCGAGAGAGGAGCGAGGTATATGGGCGGTAAGAAACGCCCGGAGAGCATTCGGAGTGCAAGGAAAGATGGTATCTGCGTCAGCGCGGTCGGGGATCAGCGGATCGGATCGAGTCGCTCAGCGGGGGTTTCTTTGGGTCATGCACGAAGTGAGTCCCATTCTTCTGTTTCTCCCTTCGCCCTGCTCAGCCCCACGCCCCCTCCTCGCACCCTCTCTTCCTTTCTTACTCGTTCCTTCTTTCTCATCGCGTTCCATCAGCTAACTCTCTTCTTCTTGCTCCCGCTACCTTTCAGCTTCCTTGCTCTTGCCTTCTAGCTTTCTTCTTCGTTCTGCTAGGTGCTGTTCTTCTTCCTCTTGCTGTCTTCTAGGTCCTCTCCTTGCGGCTCTCTTTAGATACGTTGTGACTTTGTTTCTCTAGCTCTTTCCTAGCTCTATTCTCTCTTTGCCGTCTACTGGTCATTTCCTTCTGCCTTCTAGCTCTATTCTAGCTCTTTCCTAGTTCTATTCTTCTCTCTTAGCTACCTACTGGCTCTGTTCCTCTTCCTACTAGTTTTTAGCTCTATCCCTCTTCCTCTCGTCTTCTAGGTCCTTTCCTTGCTGCCTCTAGCTCTCTTTAGATACGTTGTGACTTTGTTTCTCTAGCTCTTCTCTAGCTCTATTCTCTCTTTGCCGTCTACTGGTCATTTCCTTC